AAGCCTGTCACTTCTCCTCTGAAGCTTTCTAGTGCACTTCCACAGCGCTTTCACGCCCAGTGCTCTCAGGCCCGGTGGCTGTGAGCTCTCTTCTGTCTGCAGAATGCGGCCCACTGCGGTGCCCAGGCGCAAGGCTGCTTCTGAGTCCGCTGAGCAGGCTCCCCGCTCGTCTGCCCTTTCGCCTTTTTGTGCTGTGTCACAAGGTTTTATCTTACTTACAAAGTTTGGTGAACTTTGAGACAATTGAGTAGATCAGTTCTAGTCTGGCCTGTATTTCCAGGGACTGGCAGTGTCTGAACTCCAAAGGAGCATTTTAATAAACATGTTTCCAACAGATTCTTTAAAAAATTCCACAGGGCTTTAAAAATCCCTTCTCCCCATCGCCATAGCCTGTATCTGTGTCTGAGTTTCCACGGTGAGGTTGCGTGGCGCCAGGTCTTGGGGTAATTATCATGTCTTCCAAGATCGTGTGGGGACAGAGGAGCGGGTTGAAGTGTAGTGTGGTGGACCTCGATTCAAGAGATTTGAATCCTGATTTCAGCTGTTTATCAAAGTCTCTTGGAAGGGCGCAGGCCAAAAATGCCGCTTTGTGTGCCTTGATCTCTCTCTTCCTGGGGCCTGAGCGCCCTAGCAGGCGGCCTGGGAAGTACACAGACTCGCCCGCTGCTGGCTAGATGCAGGAAACACGGACGAGTCTGAGCATCATGCTGAGGGGAGCTGTGGTTGTCAGAGTGGGTAGGTGCTGTTTCAACGATAGGAAAAAACGCAAAGTCGGTGTTAATACAAAAGGCTTTATTCCCAGATGATGACTTTCTGTCTCTGGGACGTAAGCAATATTGGGAAGACATTTATTTAACATTGTGATTTCTGCGCCAAGGTCTAAATCTGAAAAATACTTTTATTCCCTTTCTTAATACTACTGGGAATTAATCTGTATCTAAGATGCAAACACTCGTGATGTCTCTTTTAAAGACAGGTTTGTACATTGTCTGCACTAAGGTGTTTTGTTACTGTTTTATTAAAATGCATTGGTGTGTAGCACTAGAGAAGTTTCAGGTATTAATTCAGCTTAATAACTAATGATTCCTTCAGAAAATGCACTCTTAGATTTCATTTATTATCACCACACGACTTTGGCTTTTTATGATTCATGTATGTTTCACTTTTTACAATCCCATGATTTATAATATTTTCTTTTTTAGATCTAATTCCAGTTTACTTAAGTTGGTAAATATTGTTACAAGATCATTAGTTTCCATAGTGAAAGACGCACATAAATCTGTCTCCTGAAAACTTAGCTGATAGTTTGGTTTGATTTACTGTTACAAATACCTTCCTAAAATCAAAGTCGGGCAGATTTATTAGTTTATCTTATCTAGAATTATCTTAGGGACCCTAAGATCTCTATACTTTTCCCATTATAACTCAAGTTGTTCATGACCAGATCACAGGGAGAAAATACCGGATTCCAAGCCTGGAATTCTTATCAGACCATGTGGCAAGATTTAACATACTAGCTGAGAAACTTCCGGCAGCGTTCATTAACTATTTTATCCACAGAATTGGTATTTAAATACTATACTTAATATAGTGGAAGCCACAGTATAATTTCTTAAGTATGACTTCCAGATAGAATGGAGCAAAGCAGTGACAGGGAAGGCTCAGACTTTTACCCAGCCATACTTGGCTACATTTTGATAACCTGTTACATAGTTAATGTGTATTTTCAAATTTTCTGACAGTGTTTGGTGTACAGAACAGACCAAGCTCAAGATGTAAAGAAGATTGAGAAATTCCACAGTCAACTAATGCGGCTTATGGTAGCCAAGGAATCCCGCAGCGTTGCCATGGAAACAGATTGAATGGTTTGCAATGAAGACCGGCATGCTCTTAGTCTTTTGACTGTGAGAAAGTGTTGGGACAGAAAATATGTAACTAAAAGTGAATTATTGAAAAATTTAGGGTTTTTTTGGTACCTTGTTTTTTTTTAATGTTTACTTTAGAGAGCTAGGAAATTAAAAGGTTTTTTTTTTTTTAATGAACAAGAAATTCATCTAAGAAACTTCAGATTATTTGGAGTTGGGCACAATGTATGATTAATTGCTTTAGTAAATTTGTTATCAATGATTTGAAAATGAGATGTCAAAGAAAACCAATTCTTCTAGTTTAATTAAGCTATTTTAAAAGAAAACTAAACGTGACTATTTTTCTGGATTGATACCATATTTTTGGCGGGGGTTTGGTTTCTTTTTTTTGAGCGTAGGATTTGTGCAGAGATAGCCCTCAAGTATAAAATGAGGTACTGGAATTACCTGCATAGCCGTGTGTGTGCCGGTATGTAGTTGCAAATATATCTAACAGTAATAATGCAAGCAAATATGCTTTAGCTTAAACTTTCCAAATTTACACTCTATTTTTAATACAAGAGGTACATCATGTTATTAGCTTATTGAGCAAAGATTACTTTGAGTCTAATTTTCAGTTCTCAAGCACCGGCCGTCACTGTACAAAGTCACAGTACAAGACATGAACAGGATTGCTGCGCAGCTGAAAGGACCCTGTCACAGACTGCCGCGTTTCGCATCTGGTCCCCCCGAGGACTAAGGCTTGCGTGACCTTTGCGTAGCTCTGTAACACCCCTGCCTGCCTCTGTGTGTCACCCGCGGTGAGCATGACTTTCACCACTGTTAACGATTCCCATTACACCGAAGTGTGATATTATTTGATATTTATCTCATATTTGTAACCAGAATTTTGCCATCTAAATGTAATGTCCACATGTTGATTCTACATTAAAATATTTTTTCACAGAAATGTGTTGAGCGGCAATTTAACATAGAAAGTTGCATTAGTTATGAATTTTGGGGTGTTTTTGAGGGGTCAGTAAATAAAATATGTGAGTATGTATGGTTTCACTGCAAGTTTCTAACTTCTCAAGAATGATTGGGTTTTTTACTGAGCAATCTGCTGTATTCCTTTAGTCTAACGTGAGCCTACTGGTATATAAGTAAATTTTGTTTATTTCTTGGTACTTTTTATCTTGTCTTTCTCCGAACTGACAGTGGTAGCAGGTTGAGGAGGGGGTGGGGAACAAAGGAGGCAGAGGCCAGTGGGCCAGGGTGAGGGTTAGGGGTGCTTTGCTGTGGCACGGCGACAGGATCAGACGTCGGAAGAGGCGTGAGTCTGTCCCCTAAGTCACACACAGCATCGTGAACCAATGTGAGTTCAGTTTTTAAAAAAAGTTACTAAACAAGGCCCTCCCTGGTGGCGCAGTGGGTTACAGCGCAGCACAAAGAAGCCAAAGCCACCTCAGTGCGAGTTCGAGCCCTGCCCCGGAGGTGACCCACAGGGCGCGGCAGACCTCTCCTGACCCGTCCGCTGCTCCCCTCGGCAGTGTACCTCATCACTCGGCCTGTTCTGCTCCCCACTCTGTCTCTGGTGAAGCCTCTCACTGCCTCTGCACCTCTGGCCTGTGCCCCCGTTCTGTGTGCACAAATAAATAAATCTTTAAAAAATAAATAAAAAGTTACTAACCAAGTAAATCGGGGGAAAGACACTGCTGCTCTTTTTAAAATTTTCAGTAACTTTCCCTTTAAATTATGTTGTTTAATAGTCTGTGCAATAAAATTCATGCCGGATAAAAAGTTATGTCAAATAATGTTTTAGGTTTTTTTTGTCTGCCAGAATTAGTGGGAACAGTGGGTTTTGGGGGGCATTTTTGTTAAAGATTTATTTATTAAAGCATTCAAGAGCTGAAGTGTAGTCCAGAGATGCAGGGGTAGGGGTGAGAGGACTCCCCAGAGACACAGCGGGGAGCAGCACAGGCAGAGTGAAACACTGCTGAGGGGAGCAGTGGGGAGCCAGGAGAGGTCTGCTGCGCCCTGGGGTCACTTCCTGGCCAGACCCCTCGTGCCATTGGGAGCCCTTGAGGGGCATTTTCTTCCTCACGCTTGCCCACCTTCTAACTGCTTTGTAATGATGACCTCAAAGGGAGGGACCTCGGTATTTGAGTTGTGAGGGTCTGGGTAGCGCACAGCCGAGTGGCAAGGCAGACTCCCCGGCTGCAGTCTTGACCCCACTACTTCCTAACTGGGCCGGACAAGAAATTTCCTTATATTTCTCCTCTAGAAATGGGCTCACAAAAGTACTTAAGAGGATTTGGTGTTTAAATGGCATAATCTGTTCTAAGCTTTTAGTATAGTGTCTGCAACAGCGTGAGCTCAGTAAAGGTTGTTACCACTATTGTTACGATTGTTACTTTTCGGGGGAAAGGGTGTAAGTGTTGTCATAATTTTAACTATGACTAGATACGTGCTGAACTATGCTTGTTATTAACAGCCATTTCCGCATTGCGTTTTCCTCCCTTATCTTTACCTTCCCCAGCCAGCCCTGCTCCTATCCCAGGTATGACTTTACAGATAAGCTCCTTACATACAAGCTTTTGTCTCAAGCTTTGCTTTCGGGAAGCTAGAGTAAAAGAACAAAACAAAAGAGCAGAACATGCTAGCTGAAGTGAAAGAATAGAAATGTGAAAAGAGAAAACTGCAGATATGGAGCCAAGATGCCAGAAGGGGGTGGAGGGGAGCAGAGGGAAGGAAGCCCGGAGACTGGCGGAGCCTGCGGGTGCTTGATGGCGGGCGTGTGGGGGACCCTCATCAGAAGGGGTATGAACCTCCCTCTGGATCACACACGCGTAAGCCAGTGTTAGAGCACCGAAGGCACGGTACAGTGCGGAGAAAATAGAGCCAGAGAAAGCAGGTAGGAAGAGCCATTTCAGATCTGGGTAATAACTCCCAGAAACGGAAATGGGAGTCTGCAAAATCATAAATATGATTAGGAAATTCTTGCACAATGGGTTTTGGGTTTTTGTTCATGAGGAAGATCAGGGAGGGAGGGCGGGGGAGGGGGAGGCCACTGTTGTCTTAAAAACCCGGTAGAATCAGTTGACTCTTCACCGATGGGCTCCTTAAATACTTCAGGTTCAACTCGCGAGCGCGGCTTGGCCTCAAGTAAGGCCAAGTTCACTGCAGTGCCCAGGCAGGCTGCAGGGTTGCGGGCCGGCAGCCTCTGAGCCTGGCAGACTAGTTCTGTTCATGACATGATCCTGCTGGCCATCACCTGGAAGCCCTGGACACACAGCGTGGTGGGGGATTGAGCCAGGGTGCGTGGGTTAGGGAGTGAGCATGGAGCCATTTTAAACAGTTCTCATCTTTCCTCCAATTTACATCTTTTTATAAAATATGGTTATAAAATACCTTTTAAAAACATTATTTGGGGATCCTCCCTGGTGCAGCGGGTTAAAGCTCAGCACTACAAAGCTAAAGCCACTCAGCACGAGTTCGGTCCCCCACCAGGGAGTGACCCACAGGGCGCGTCAGACCTCCCGCCCGCTGCCCCCTCAGCAGTGGACTTCATCCGTCTCTTCTGCTCCCCACCCTATCTGGTGAGTCCTCTCACCACCCCTGCACCTCTAGCTTGTACCCCAGTTCTGTATGCATAAATAAATACATCTTTAAAAAAGACAAACAAAAATCCTTATTTACTCAGTACATAAAATACTACTAGTAATATAACCAATGCAAAAATATTTTGTCCATCTTGATAACTCCCATGTAAGTTATCTTCTCCATCGCACATAAGCAAGTTTTTAACAAAAACTAGGAATTCTGCTTGGGTCTTAATTTATTGGTTGGTTGGTAGCGCCAGATGCTAACAGATAATTGGTAAATAGAGGCCATTATAAAAATCATACGACACAAATACCACGTAATTCTGTACCACTTGGTATTTCGCAAATGCCCTTGAGAACATTTTGTAGAAGAGCTGGTTGGTGCCCCTACCCACTTCATTAAAGTTCTAGTGGATTTATGACCTGTTGATTGAAAGTAGATAAGAAAGAAGCAGCAGCAGAGATTTGGAAAAGGGCAGAGATACGCTTTAGAATCGGGGGAAATCTGGCGTGTCCAATGACCCTAGAAAATAGTATTTTAATGCTAATTTTTTAAAGATTTTTAAAATTTATGCACACAGAACTGGGGTATAAGCCAGAGGTGCAGGGGCGGTGAGAGGATTCACCGGAGACAGTGGGGAGCAGAACAGGCAGATCGACAAAGTCCACTGCTGAGGGGAGCAGCGGGCCGGTCAGGAGGGGTCTGCGGCGCCATGTGGTCACGTCCGGGGCAGGCGGGGATCGAACTTGTATTGAAGCTGCGTCCTAACCCGTTGAGCCAGCAGGGAGGGCCTACTTTAATATTAATTTTTATTTTTAATCCATGTACTTGGTTTTAAATAAAATAATCAGGACTAGAATGTAACAGTTCCCTGTCCCTCATTTTTCCATTTCTACTTCCAAATCTTCTAGTGTATCTTTTTAAGTTATATGCTTCTAATACATACTATTTGTCAATTTAGGCATTGTCTCAATTTCCTCTTACAATAAAGACTGAAATATACCTACTTCTGCTTCCACTGCACCCTCTTCAAATATATTTTTTAAATTTGCAGTGCTTACAAAATTACAGCTGCAAATGCTACAAAACCAAGCCGTGTACCATGATCACTTTTATTTTTTGAACTACTTTGTTTTTGAATAGTCATTTTTTCCTTTGCTTATTTTTCTGTTCCTTTCTTTGGCTTTTTTCCAGATCTGATACATGCCTACTCACATTCCTTTGCCAGAACTTACCACACACTAACGTGACAACCCTCCTTTTCCCTGGGGACCTGCCTCCCGGAGCCACCTGTCCTGCCGCTCTGGAGCGGTTGCTGTTGGCCGTCGGCCGGACGCCTCCTGCCGCCTTGCGTTAGGTCCCGTTTCCCAGATGCGTGTCCCCCCGCACTGGGCACCTTTCCCTGCGGGAGGACCTCCTCCAACAGTGTCCCCAGAACCAGTGTCCCCAGAAAGGAGACGTGCAGTTTAATTCTGTGATAAGAACTTTTAGTCCTTGCATGTATGAACAAGTTTTAAACTTGCCCTCGTCCCACTAGGAGAATTCTGCTGGAAGTAAGTTCCCCACGACTTGGCGCCCGGTGTGACCGCTAAGAAGCCCGGTGATTCCGCTGACTGAGTGTGTATTGATCTGCTTGTTTCTTGGGATTTCCCCCACGAGCAGCTCTTAAAATCATATATTTTTTTAGTATCCTGGGGTGTTCACGTGACTTGCTTCGGTGTGGTTTTCTTGCTTTTTTATTGTGTCTCTTCAATCTGGAGGTTGGTGTCCTTTGAGTATTTCTTTAATAACTCACCTCTCTCTCCTCTGTTATGGAGCTCATATCGGTCAGGACTTTCTGGGCTGATCTTCAGGTTGTCTGTTCCCTTTTTCCTTCCACTGTCCAGCTCTGTGATTTATATTCTTTATGGAGAGAATTCCTTAATTCTGTCTTCAGCCCCTTTTGCTATTTTTTTTTAATTATTTTTAGAATGTGCTCTCTAATTCTCTGAATTCTTTTTTATTGCCTTTTGTTCCTGTTTCATAAATACAATTCACCTCTTAACACTTTGAGGGTATTTTCACCTCTTCTGCGGCCCTTGAGCACACCCCCTATTTTTAGCTCTGCCTTTCCTGTCAGAGGCATCTGGGGACTTTTAATATTTAAGAATGAAGCACTGTAACACATTATGAATCCTAAGTTTAGAAGCACCCCCACTTCCTCCTTGGCGGTTATTAACCAGAGGACAAATTCTTGGAAGCCAGAATGGGAAGGGACTTAGAAGAGACCTGCAGTTCATTATGAAGACTTCCTTGGTTCTGCTGCTTTAAGTCAGGTTCTTTTTTTTTTTATTTATTTTTCTTAAAGATTATTTATGTATACAGAACTGCGGTACAGGCCAGAGGTACAGGGGTGATGAGAGGATTCATCAGAGACAGCGGGAGCAGAACAGGCGGATCTACAAAGTGCCCTGGTGAGGGGAGCA